CCCCAAAACCCCAAAACCCCAAAACCCCAAAACCCCAAAACCCCAAAACCCCTTAAATAATGTTATTATTTGAAATAAAATAATTTAAAATTCATGTCCAACGCTGGAAAGTTTCATGACCCCATTCCTAAAGTCCCTCCTGCAGGAGTGACTACTACCATCAAGGATGAGGACGCTGGAAGATGTATTAAGGCGGACAACTACCACACTGCGCCTGATACTCCCCCACATATTAAGAAATACAGGAAAAGTTTTAATAACCAGCCAGGAATAAAACAGAGACATTATGGCTTAGTAGATGATTCTCTCCCAGATCAGACATTCGGTAAGAAAACTTACGGTTCCGAACATGTCGATGAAGTAATCAGAGCCCAGAACCTGCGTGGCCTTGCTGACTTTAATAATGACCTCAAGGAGGGCAAATACCAGTCTCACATCCGTGAGCCACTCGGAAAGTCCTATCAAAGAGGATATGCCTTCCCAGATACCGTTAAAAAGGGAGAATTTCAGTTTGGAGTCCCCTCCGGCTTCAGTGAATCTGCCAAAGATGTATTATACCCAGAAGACGGCCATAGAGAAGCCAGAAATAGAAAAGAAGATCCAGGAGTTCAGAAGGAAAGAGCTTATAACTGGAATATGGACCATACAAAGCACAAGTTTGGCTATGCCGAGACTAAAGTGCTTAACGGAGCTGCTCATAGTCTACACCCAGAAAGATTGGAGAGCAAATTCCCCAAAACTGTGATTGTTAAGAAAACAGTTGAGGATTTCAAACAAGTTGCGCATGATATTCTTGGCAAGTCCAAAAACTTAGGACAAGGAGAAGTCCCAATAGATAGAGATAGTGCTTTCGGTATTTCTACCATTGGAAATGATGCCTGGAATGCAGCTAAATGTATCCACGGAGAGCCAGGAGAGAAAGAAATCCAGCCAGATCACGATCTTGGAAGAAGCACAAAGCCAGGCTGTATGAATGAAGTGAGGAAAGAAGAAGATAACAACAGAGTTTTTGGAACTCCTTCTATTAGACTAGATATTCCTTACAAAGAGAAGAAATCAGTGGCTGATCACCAAAACTATGGAGATGAACCTGATGCTGTTGACCTGTTATTCCCAACTACTTTCACCGAGCTTGGAATATCAGAATATGATTTCTCTGCACTCAGACCAAGAGAAGCAGTAAAAGAGTTATTTTCGAAAATTGGGTACAATTATAAAATTGGTAAATTCAACGCAATGTTCAACAGAGCCAGAGAACTAGACAACACAACTACAGACATGTGCTCAGTTAGATCTTTTATGAAGATAGTTGAAGATATGAATGATATTGAATAAGACTTTTGCAATACTAGTCTTCTAATATTTATAATTCAATACATCTTTCATATCGGGGTTTTGGGGTTTTGGGGTTTTGGGGTTTTGGGGTTTTGGGG